TTGAACTCTACTGGGAACCATAAAAATGTATTTAGTTCTAAATTGAAATGACGATGCCTCTTGCTGTTGTAAATTCCTGATCTAGTTTCCTGTTCTACTGTTCCCTCTTTTATAAATGGTTATATCAGTGGTTCTTGAATGGACTCTGAAGATGGGAGCCAGTGTATGAATACTTGTACCATTACTGAAAGCCTAAATGATCTTTTTCCACACACCATTGCTCAACTGGGTAGACTAGTGGGGCTGACATAAAACGATTTTAACCTGTTCTCTTTCTAGCTGAATAACTCAAAGGGATTTTCAGTGATTCTTACGACAAATGGTGTCAAGATGCCTAACCGTCTAATGTGAAAACCTGGAAAAAAGAAACCCAATTTTGCTGTTACACCTGTATATATATATATATATATATATACATATACATATATATATATATATATATATATATATATATATATATATATATATATATATATATATATATTGGATAGATGTGAGTTTGTAATATATGTTAGCTCTATCTCTGATATTGAGCGTTTCTAATAAGTACCGCCATATAATATATAAATAATTATACATACTTATATTTATTTATATTTATATACACTTTTCACATATATATATATATATATGTGTGTCTGTGTGTGTGTGTGTGTATATAAATATATATGTGTGTGTGTGCGTGTGTGTGTATACTGATTCCATGTAATTTTGGAAGTATGTGCAAGTACGTATGTGTGCATGTGTGTGTGTGTGTGTGTATGTACTGATTCCTTATAATTGGACGGTATGTGTGTGTGTGTGATTGTGCGTGTGTATGTGTGTGTGTGTGTCTGTGTGTGTGTACAGATGAGTTCACTGATTCCTCGTAGTGAGACAGTGTGTATGTATGGAGACGGGATATACACATATATACACGCATTTTGACAAAAACACATGAAAATGAAAATAGATCTAAGAACACACAGGGGGTCAGTAAACGATAAGAATGCCGATAACTCCTTCACCATTACTCGGACCAATCTTAATTGTTTTAAAACCCTTCACGCAGAACTCTTTACTCCCAGTTCAAGAAAGACATTTGTGTCACTAACACAGAAAAAGAGAATGTCTCATATCGAGAATATTTAACATCGAAAAACATAAAGGAAAAAATTAATTATTTTTATTAATATGTGGAAATCTCCACGCTTTGCCTGATGATGGTCGCTAGACCAGAAACGCCTGTAGCAAAATTATGGAAAATAAAACATAATATATTTTTTTAAAATCAACACTACAACCGAAAACGTTTGCGGTTTCTACACACTTTTCTCTCACTGGAACTACTATAACCTCTTTATATATATATATATATATATATATATATATATATATATATATATTATGATTGATGCAAATATGAATTGTGTCGCTTAGTTGATTGATTTGCTTCCATTATCAAAGTCCATTCAAGAACCATCAAGCGATTGATGAATAAGTTTTAAAAAAGAGGAACAGTAAAGAGGAAAACTGGAATAGGGAAGTGCCAACCGCAAGATGGATCATCATTTCAACTTAGAGCTGAATACATTCTTACTGTAGAGTCCAATAGTGTTATAAAAACCTCGGATAGTTCCAGTAAGATGTCTTTAACCATTTCTAAGATGCAACGGTTAGAAGCACACACACACACACACACACACACACACATATATATATATATATATATATATATATATATATATATATAACAAACGCTAAGAAAATGGTCAAGAGCTCCGGTCTAAAAAACGTCCCTCACATTTTATTTGGACACTTTTGCTGTTACACCGGTACACACAAACACACGAACTCACACACACACACACACACACACACATATATATATATATATATATATATATATATATATATATATATATATATATATATATATACAACAAACGCTAAGAAAATTTTCAAGAGCTCCGGTCTAAAAAAACATTCGTATACCATTTTTGTTTAAAGTACAAGAGATCTAATGAAGCTAGTGTGATCTTCAAGATCAGAAAGACGTATGTGCGCGTATTTGTTTGTGTGTACCTGTGTGCTACTTTGTGTCTCCTCGTACGTGTGTGTGTGTGTGTGTGTGTGTGTGTGTGTGTGTGTGTGTGTGTGTGTGTGTGTGTAGGTGTTACAAATTAATGAAAGAGGCGATGTAGTCATATCATATACACGCGGGGGAGACGAAAAGCTCACGACCTGACCCATTTCATGAAATCAGTATTTCCTCGGCCAAACATCAGAATATCTCGTGGAAGGTTTGAAAACAGGTACCAAGTCTATTGAACTTACAGGTGAAAAACATAAAATAAGCTGTACCTTTCATGGCTCCAAGTCATTCTTCTTAGTTGGATCGATAAATTTTCATCACTTCGTCACGTATCTATCCAGGGGATAACATTGTTTATGCAGTCTCTTGTCCCTATGGCTTCATAAAAAAATAAAAATAAATAAATAAAAGATATCAATAACAACAATTGTAAGATCATTAATTCACTTTCATGTAAAGAAAATTCTTCGATTCTGTCCACCAATTCTATCACAGCTACCATTGAAAGAAGGCATATAACCTAAAATAAAATCTGTTACAACTACTACTAAAACATTCTTCGATTCTGTCCACCAATTCTATCACAGCTACCATTGGAAAAAAATGCACATAATCCTGAAATAAAATCTGTTACAACTAGTACTAAAACATTCTTCGATTCTACCCAAAAATTCTATTACAGCTACCCCTGAAAAGAATATACCTAAGCCTAAAATAAAATCTCTTACAACTACTACTAAAACGCTAAATGACTAAAACTTGAACTTTACTCTATAACCTGTAATAATTGCAACAAATAATGTATCGGAGAAACCTTAAGGAATTTAAATAATTTGGTTGGGTTTGTTTTATAGTATATCAACATGAATGGGTTATTTAATATCGACAAGATTTTTATTGCTGGTAAAAATATGCATTGCTGGTATTAATTTTACACTTTCATAGTATTTTGATCCCAGCTTGGGTGTTAACTATTTGCCCATAGATTGGACCCTGACAGGAGCTACCACCCTGGGTCAGATTGAACCTGGGAACACTAGCAATTAAGAGGTGGTTCTCCGCTCCACAAAACTTCCTGATCAGATGCTTGCTGTTGGATGTCGTTTATCGTCTTACCCAGGATGCGGATGTAGTTCATCGCCATACCCAGGACGGGAATTTCAATAAAAGATTATGTTCTGGCCAAAGAGGTATTTTTCAAAGCAAATAAGCCATGACATTAGTTGCGCGATATAATGAGTCTGATGATAATTTTGATTTTAAAAAATGTTAATTTAATTAAAGGAATTTTCTAATACGGAAATATATAGAAAGTGTTTTAATCACCAGACCATACACAATAAATTTACATCCACATTCCTACAAGATTTCACCTTAGCAGTAATTTTTGATTTTTAACAATGTGGGATATTTAATGTCAAATTTTGTAAAAACATAAACAAAAAGAAAATTAAATTAAATGAAATCGTCAATGCTATATACTGAAACAGATATTAAGAAAAAAAAATTAACGTTCTCAGTGCCTCCTCTTCTTCATGCGCATGTGTAACCACATCATTGTATACATTACGTTAGGCCGATGAAGTTCGAAATGATGAAACTTTGTTATAGATTTTCCGAAATCAACATGCCAAATATTTATATTACTTTGCGCCCTCCATAGTTTTCCTTTCCTTTTCCTTGACACCGAGAGATTTTTTCATATTTTTCGAACGTGATTATATTTTTAAATTTGAACGCAGCACCTTATTTTTCTCGGCGTTACTTTTCTTCTATGTGTATAAATCAAGGTTCAGGAGAAAAATTCTAAATTTGCCATGATAAATTTCGTAGATTTTTTTTAAGCCAATCACTCCAAGCAAGGCGGGAGTGAAACTAGCACGCAAGGGATTACAGAGAGTGAGAGTAAGAGTAAAGAGGAGTGTTTGGGAAAAGGATAAAGAGAAGGACAGGGATCAAGATAAAGGCATCAGAAGATGTCGACGGACATTACATTTAAATATGTGAAGATTATAGCTATCAGGAAAGCAAGTGATAGAAAGGGGGTTCCACTGACGGGAGGTGTGAGATAAGAAGCTGTTGGAGTAGAAGAGATTGCTTTAATCACCTTCTTATACCATGCTCTCTTCTACAAAATATAGGGTTGGTAATAACTCTTCCAGCGAAGATGTCTTTTGCAAGCATAGTGAAGTTTACAACACTGCCTTAAAAATAGTGGCTATAAGTACCCTGACATCAAATATATGAAAAATTAACAACATCAATCGTAGGGATAAGTATAGAAACAGTAAAATCATTTGGTACACACCCACATTTAACTAAATGGTTAGGACTAAGGGCAGAATTTGCTCCATTTAATTGATAAACACTTCCCCAGAAATAATCTACTTAGTAAAACAGTAATTAATGGGACCGAGGTGCCAACCTAGTAGCACGCTTAAATTCATGCAATTTGGGAATCAGTGAAAGTAGCTTGTCGGAGCAGTTGCCATGAAAGTACTTGTAGAAAATACAGAGAGAAGACACAGCATGTCTGTGGGATAGCGACAGCAGACGGGATGCCAGATCAGGACCAACAACATTGCGTATGTCTGGATTATTTCTAGGACCTCGAGATGAAGTGCCGGAGCACCAGACCACGATGAACTAAACACGTTGGCATAAACGATTTTCTTCTTCTCATTTTTCGTATTAATATTTCTTTGCAGAAACATTTATTTAGATCTGAATTTTAATTATATATCGGATAGGTCACAACTTCTACTTGCGCCATATATATCCAGTATCACCTGCTACATGGTCGAGAGATTGTTGAGTAAACCATCTTTACTAGAAGGCTCATTTGGTGAGGATGGTAACTTGGTATATATGACACATAAAAAAAATAATATTTTGGTGTGAGAAACTCTTGAGACTGCGCCTAGCTATGATCAAAGTTACGCTAGACATCGGTCTGTCTCTGTGTTATATAGTGGTGAATAATAGGACAGATGCGATAAGTTGTAAGCGACATTTTCTTTTAAATACCTGCACAGTCATCACGCCTTTGACATCGTATGTGTTTTGTAATTACGCCTTGACATTTCTTCTTCTTCTTCTTCTTCTTCTTCTTCTTCTTCTTCTATACTTTTTCATCATCATCGTCTTCTCCTTTTCATCTTCTTTTTCTTCTTTTTCCTCTTCATCTTCTTCTCTTCTTCTTCTGTTTCTTCTTCTCCTTCTTTTTTCATCATCATCTTTTTCCTCTTCATCTTTTCTTTCGTCTTCTTCTTTTTCTTCTTCTCTTCTTTCTTCTTCTTCAACTTTTCATCTTCTTCAACTTTTCATCTTCTTCTTTCTCCTGTTCATCTTCTCTTTCTTCTTCTTCTCTTTCTTCTTCTTCTTCTTAAATCTGCTTCTTCTTTTTCTTCTTCTGCTCTTCTTCCTTTTCTCTTTTGCATCTTCTTCATCTTCTCTTCTTTCTTCTTTATCTTCTTTTTCTTCTGTTTCTTCTTATTATTCTTGTTCTTCTCTTTTTCTTTTTTCATCATCATCTTTTTCCTCTTCATTTTTTCTTTCTTCTTCTCCTTTTCTTCTTTTTCTTCTTCTTCTACTCTTCTTATTTTTCTCTTTTTCTTTTATCATCTTCTTTTTCTTCTTCTTCTTTTTCCTCTTCTTCTTTTTCCTCTTCACCTTCTCTTCTTTCTTATTCTTCTTCTTCTTCTTCTTTTTTCTTCTTTTTCTTCTTTTTCCTCTTCATCTTCTCTTATTTCTTCTTCTTCTTAAGCGTTTCCAGGCTGTATGTAATGGCAAATTTTGAACATTATAATATTGGCTACCATGGCTCTCCACAACTTCCAACCAGTTCAAACACGAAACAGAACGTGTCTTGTTACTATCTTAAATGATAAGATCTTCTTCTTCTTATTCTTCTTCTATGTGCCGTGTCTCTTCGGGATATTGGCGATCATGGCTCTCCAGAATTTCCTATCCTTTGTAGCTCTTAGTAAATGTTGCATTTTGTTATCTCTCCTAAACCCTGTGTTGTCAAGCTCGTTAGGTATTTGAGGTCCTCCTTTCCTCTGCCCGCTGTGTCTTCAATATATCTTGTGACAGTAAGATTTGGTAGGGTTATCTGATGTATTCGTCCTATCTCTAAAGTATTTTTCTTTGTCTAATATCAGTGTTTCGCCCTTCAATTTCATACATCCTGTTGATGAGTATGTCTTCTTTCCTGTTATTTCTACTGTCTGTTAATGTACACATCTTTATCTGTCATATTCATTCTTTTTATTTCAGCCCACTTTTCGTTGAGTCATTCCTCTTTAGATCGCCTGCATTTGTACCTAACTTGATTGTGCCGTTCTTATATTGACATTTTTACTTCTAATAAATTGAAGTCAGGCTCTGCTGTGTAATAAAGATTTTGAATGGTCTTTCTGCACTTAGGCGTCATTGCAAAGCACAAGATCTGGTAGAAGCAGCAGATGCGCAATTATGGTAATCGAGCGAACGGCTGCAATACACACAGACACACATATTTGTGTGAGTGTAAAAAGATAACTTTTGGCTAAATTTAGGTCACAGATTTACCGCCTTGCGCTTCGAGGAAAAATCGATTGATTAATGTGCTTGTCAGCCAATTTGGAGTGAGGCATCTTCAAATATTTTATCGTTTTTCCTAAACACACTTTGATTTTTCGAGATAGATAGATAAATAGATAGATATGAAGAGACTTGGATAGCTAGCTAGCTAGCTAGCTAGCTAGCTAGATAGATAGATAGATAGATAGATATGAAGAGACTTAGATAGATATATAGACAGATAGATAGATAGATATGAAGAGACTTGGATAGATAGAGAGATAGATAGATAGATAGATAGATAGATAGATAGATAGATAGAAGAGACTTAGATAGATAGATAGATGGATATGAAGAGACTTTCATAGATAGATATATAGATAGATAGATATGAAGAGACATAGATAGATAGATACAAAGAGACTTAGATAGATAGATAGATAGATAGATAGATATGACGAGACTTAGATAGATAGATAGATAGATAGATAGATAGATAGATAGATAGATAGATATGAAGAGACTTAGATAGATAGATAGATAGATAGATAGATAGATAGATAGATAGATGGGACCCATCTTGCCTATTTACAATCCACCTTTTCGACCATGCATTGAAAATTTCGGCGATATATAATCTGGAGATACTGCTCTATATCTTTCGATTATTGAAAAAATAAGAAAAATAGTCTGCAATGTTATCAGTTATGCCCTGGCATCTCGGCTTAAGTCACATCCTCACTGCCGTAACGTGGCTTTCCTCTGTCTTTTCTATAAATAGTTTAATTGTTCTGATCAGTCTTCTTCCTTCGAAGCTCAGGTGTTATCTTTTGAATCATGTTAGAGAAATCTTAGAATTGTTTTGTTTTGGTTTTTTGTTTTTTTTTAATTTGCTGTAAAGTGAAATAGAGAATTCTCTGATATAATGAGGTGCAGGCACCATTGGAGAAAGGTGATCGAATTCGTATCGAAGATTTTGAGTTTAAGGGAGAAAGAAACTCTGAAGTAAAAGATCAAAACCAGGGACCTTTTGAAGGAGCATCATGCATGGGAGGTACGTATGTTTACAGAAAATCCAGCAGCAAATCGGTTAAATCACACATGAAAAAGAGACATAGGGTAATAGAAACGCTGTTCTACAGGAGGATGCTAAGAATACAAACGGTTAAATATGTGGGTAACGACGAAGTTTTAATGAAAATGGAAACAAAAAGAACTGTTGGAATTTTGGGGTACCCTGGTGTACTAGTGAGTCAGCCAAAATGAGCTGACTCATTTTATAGTTCACCAATAGAAGGGTTAACCAATCAGAAGGCTTAAAATATTCAATGCGACGTGTATAAAGGCAGCCATGTTTTTTTTCTCCCGAATATTCACTGACAGCCACCCTTGGATATCGAAGACTGAAGAATTACGGAACAGCTGCTGGTGGTATTGGCGATATAGTCAGATCCAGTAAAATATCTGACTCGAGAGTATTAACCTTTAACGTTGTTTCATTGAACAGATTATGTACTGCGCTGTATTCTATAAACAAAGACTATGGTGAACATGGTCAACAAGAACACCTATACGTCTAATCGGAAAGATTGAAATTTCTAGGACTCATAATGAGGAAAAGGGGTTTAGAAAACTTGACACTCACAGTGTATATTGAAGGCAAGAGGGACACAAGAAAAACAGACGAGCTTATGAATTGAATGTCAGAATAGGGATTAAGATGGATGGTAAAAATAAAAATAAAAACTTATTAAGCGGATAGTCAAATATGAATGATAAGGAAGTTCTAATAAGCATTCGGAACAAAAAAGAACAGTCCTAATCAGACTAAGAGAGTTGACGCGCATAGTGAAGAAAGAAGGTTTGGAGAATTTGACACTCACAACAGATAGGCGTCAAGAGAACCAGAGCGAAGCATCAAGTTATCTGCCTACCAAGGTCGTTTATATAAATGGCATAACGTGAACGGAGCGTTATAATAAACGAACAAATATTTCTCTGAGTTACAAAGGACATGAAGTTGTGGAGAGCCATGATCGCCCACATTCAAGAAATAGTAGTAAAATCTTCGGAACGTAGGATATCTTCTGAATTATAATAGCCCAAAAGTTCTGCTTAAGTATATATATATATATATATATATATATATATATATATATATCATTATTAAGATGAAATACCAAAGTATTTTTTAATTATTTTGTAAAATTTTTACCCATTCTTAGCGTGTCCAAAATTTTAGTTCAAAATCTTGTTTTTTTCCTGCGAAATTACTGAAAAAAAACTCGATATCAGCCATTTTTTTTTAATTTTATTAAAAAGTTTAAAATTCGTCCAAAAATCAATTATACGTTTTTCAAAATTTATTTGACGAAAATTAGCAAATTTAAAGATTATTTAATATATTTTGAAAAAAAAAAACTTTTGCTTACTTTCTTCGAAGAAAAATGTTGTTTAATATAAAAGGAGGCGATCTTAACATCGTTGGCTATAGTATTGACAAATGATGAGTGATGACTTATCATCACATATCGACAGCTAACGTGAGATTCGAGTTATCATACGGAAGGATATAATTGACGAAACGTTTTTTTTTACATGAACCAGCTTATGTAGTACCTCGTAATTATTAAAATAAAAAAAAAACTTTCAGCATTCCAATTTCTTTGATTTTGTTACTGTAGCTTACACCATAAGTTTGTTGATACTATCTGTAGAAATATATTAAAATACAAGTGCTGTACAGCTTTTTGAGGGCAACTATAGCACCCCCCCTAAAGTCAATACAGGTCTGCTATATTAAAACATTTCTATCCCAAGTAAAAATCATCACAAACATATCAAAAGTTATTTTGTTATACTACAGCCAATTTGAACTGAAAAAATAAAATTGAAAAATGACTCTTGTCATCATCTGAACAAAATATCAAGGAAACTTTTGATCCGCACCCCATGAAATTAGGTATTTCCTGAAAGCAAAGAATGCTCTTTCATTTCTAAGTGAAATTGGCTGGTGTAAATGATTATAAAAAAAAAAATTCTGTGGATAAAATATGAAAAAATAGTTAAAGTTGCTATTCCTGAACACTGAAAACCAGGATTTTTTTTTATATGTTTTTCTAATTTTTATTTTTTTTAAATCAGCGATAAGGAAAACAGTGTTGAAATTAAGCCAAAATTGACTTTGACATTGCTGGGTCAAAGGCCAGCCAGCCGACAATACCAAGCTGTCATCACCTTGTAAAAAATCCCATTTTTTAAAAATCTATGTTTGAACAATGGCTTGATGTATTTTTGTTTTTTAACACCTTCTGAGCAAAGTGATGACAACTACACTTAAGGATAGACCCAAAAAAAGTCTGTATGAAATACGAAATTCACATAAAATTGAAATAAAGACGACTCATGGAAAAATTTCAATAAATTGAAATTGCAATGAAATATGTAAATGAAATAAATGGTACTTTTAAAAATGTAGAAACGTTGATAGTGAAAATGGTTTAGGATGATGTTCAAATTTTTTAATGAGTAAAAAACGCTAATTTAAAATGCTCAGCATGTGTTTCGCACGAAGAATTTGCAATAATGTAATCGACGTCCAGCTGAGAACGCTTACACTCAAGCCACGTGACGTTTTATTGCTTGTGACCTTCCGTACTTTTTATTACAGCTATTTTCACGATTTTTATGAACACAAAATTAAATTTCTTAAAAAATGCGGATCTTCTGATTAGTCAAAAAGATACAATTTACAACGCGCTAAAAAAGATCTATCTCATAAGGACACTTAGGAAACGTAATGCGTCTTTTAACTAATTTTATAATATTTTAACAATTTAAATGTAAAAATCTATTATAATTAAAATAACAAGCAATTGTATTAAAAATTCATTTTTCATCGAAAAAATTTTTTGCTTTCAGAAAATATTGTCCATATTCATATAAACAAATAAAAGCAAATAAAAGCATTTGAAATTAAATAATATATTTGATTCATTGAGTTTTGTATGTTACAATTAAGAGCTGATTTTCAGGTACTGCGGGTCAAATAAAAACAAAAAACATGATTTGCATTCCTCAAAGCCTTGTGCTTTTAACTATTGTAATCATTAAACTAGGCTCGATCGAATTTCTAGCGTTTTCATAAAATTAGTTATGGGGGAAGGTTAATAAATATTCAAAAAATATATTTCTGCCATGACTTTAATAAAAAAAAACTTACTTATAATAATTTCG